CTGGTTTCTTTTTGCTTCTCACTTCTGTTTCTCTTTCATATTCTTCACATTTTGTTTCTCCTCCACTTTTGATTTTTCCCATCTTCCACTGTTTCTTTCAGCGGCTCTATTTCTGTTTTGCTGTCTCTTGCCTATTTGCTCACTTTTCCCACTCCTTCCCCTCACTCACATCTCCCATCTCTCCAGTTTTGTTTCTGTTGTCCCTTTATTTGTCTCTCTCCTTCATTTGTTCCACTCCCTTATGTTTTCCCCCACTTTCCATTTCTCTGTAATGATGATTAAATCAAAATCATTTATCTCCGTACAGGTGCTGGATTGTCCACCTTAATGTGAATGCTTTATGCAGAAAGTGTTTAATTAATATTTTAACCATTTTTTTGAGTCACCTTATTCGCTGATGCATATGACCTTAAAGCTCACTGGCCCATGCTGTGCATTTTCTACTTCCCTTTCATTTTCAATTATATACCTACAGCCCCACCTTTTGGTAAATTGGTGCAACTTATGTCAGACAGAAATTTGCTCGACAATTTCTCTTCGACTTGTGCTAGGAGAGGATGTTTTGCCCTATTAATTAAAAAAAAGGTGAAACTGAAATCTGAATGTGGTTACATGTGTCTGATTCTCAGGTTTTTCTAAACTCTCCACTGGAAAGTTGTTCGAAACCCAGTCCCAAGAATGTTTTACTTACTTGCTTTCACTCATGAATCCCTCAAACCAGTTGTCATGCATGAGAATACATTTGAACAAACCTGTCAGTTCATGGTTCTCAAGATATTTGGACTGGCCTCATCAGAAAAAAAAATCACTCTCCTTTCGCCAAGGATATTTCCTGTACACCAAAACAAAAATCTTCCTCTTAATAACTTTTGTTTCATGCTTCCTCTCAATTCTGCCTCATTTCCTTCATCTCCTTTCTCGCAAGTTTACCTCTCTCTTACCTCACTTATATTTCAAACTGCTCCAGTTTTGTCTTTTTTCCTGATCCTTCATCTCTCTCCTTGTTTCCCTTCCTTCTTTAATTTATACTTTTCCCCAACTTTCTATGTTTCGTCTCTTCATTCTGTCTGTGTTTTTGCCTCGGATTCTTACAGCATAGGAGCTGTCACCTGGGGAAGAGCATGGGATGATGCAATATTTAGAAATTAAAAGGAATAGCTAACATTAAAATAATCAACAGCAGCTAGGACTCCAGCTATTCACAATATATATTGATAATTTGGATGAGGGAACAATTGTAACATCTCCAGGTTTGCAGATGATACCAAGTTGGGTGGGTGGGTGATCTGTGATGACAATGCAGGAATCCTTCAGCATGATCTCAACAGGTTGGGTGAGTAGGCAAATCAATAGCAGATGCAGTATAATTTGGATAAATGTGAGGTTATTCACTTCGGAAGCAAAAACAAGAAGGCACATTACTACCTGAATGGCTGTAAATTGGGAGAGGGGAGGGTGCAGTGGTACCTGGGTGTCCTTGTGCACCAGTTGCTGAAGGTAAGCATGCAGGTGCAGCAGGTGGTAAAGAAGGCAAATGGTATGTTGGCCTTCATTGTGAGAGGTTTTGAGTACAGGAGCAGGGATGTGTTGTTGCAGTTATACAGGGCCTTGGTGAGACCACTCCTGAATATGGTGTGCAGTTTTGGTATCCTTTTCTGAGGAAGGATGCTCTTGCTCCCGAGGGAGTGCAGCGAAGGTTTACTAGGCTGATTCTGGGGGTGGCGGGTCTGATGTATGTGGAGAGATTAACAAGGTTGGGATTGTTTTCGCTTGAGTTCAGACGAATGAGGGCGGGATCCCATAGAGACTTATAAAATTCTAACAGGACCGGGCAGGGTAGATGCAGGGAGGACGTTCCTGAACCAGGAGTCACAGTATGAGGATTCAGGGAGGGAGATGAGGAGACATTTCTTCACCCAAAGAGTGGTGAGCATGAGGAATTTATTACCACGGGAAGTACTTGATGTCAAAACATTGAATGTATTCAAGAGGCCACTGGATATAGCACTTGGGGCGAATGGGATCAAAGGTTATGGGGAGAATGTAGGATTAGGCTATTGTGTTGAACAATCAGCCATGATCATGAAGAATGGTAGAGCAGACTCGAAGGGCCGAATGGCCTCCTCCTGCTCCTATCATCTATGTTTCTATGTAGCTGCATCCTAGGTATAAGCACCAGCCCCAACAACCGACCCAGCACTCTCTCTTTCTAAGTGTAAGAGTTAGAACAAAGAACAATACAGCACAGGAACCGGCCCTTCGACCCTCCAAGCCTGCACCAACACATTTTGCCCTTCCATACTAAAACTGTCTTCATTGACAGGATCCATATCCCTCTATTCCCTTCCTATTCGTGCATTCATCCAGGTGATCCTTGAATGCTGCTATTATGCCTGCTTCCACCACCTCCTCTGGCAGCGTAATCCAGGCACTCATCACCCTTTGTGTGAAAAATTTGCCTTGCACATTTCTTGTAAACTCTGCTATCCCCTCCACTGACACCAAGTAATTGACCCCTCCACCCTGGGAAAAAGCCTCATACTTTCCACTCTATCCATGCCATTCATAATCTTATAAACTTCCATCAAGTTGCATCTCAACTTCCTGTGTTCCAGTGAAAACAAACCCAGTCTATCCAACCTTTCCTTATAGCTAAAATCCCCCCGAACAAGCCAACATAGTTTCTTGATTATCAAGGGGATCAAGGGTTAGGGGGAGAAAGCAGGACATTGGGGACTTATCACCCATGATTGAATGGCGGAGCAGACTGGGTGGGCTGAATGGCCTAATTTCTGCTCCTGTGTCTTATGGTCTTATGGTCTTATGGTCTTAACATCCTGGTAAACCTTTTCTGGACCCTCTCCAAAGCCTCCATATCCTTCTGGGAGTGTAGTGACCAGAAGTGTACGCAATATTCCCAGTGTGTCCTTCCTAAAGTTCTGTGAAGCTGCAGCATAACTTGTCTATCCTTATACTCAACACCCCTTCCAATGAAGACAAGCATGCCATAGGCCTTTTTTACTACCTTATCTACTGAAGTAATAAGTCTTTATAAAGCACTCATTCAATCTAAAAGCTTACATACCATTCACAGAGATTTGCCTGACCACCCCATTGATGGTTGTAGATTTTACGTCTGTATTCAGCTTAGGACAGGGCACTTTCAGGATTGGAGATGACATTATATAACCCCACTCTCAATGGCACTGCCCATTCCCTGCTGACTGCCCAAACCTTGCTACTACAACCTGGAGAGAAACTGGTTTCATTTAGCATTTGTAGTCATATTACTCACTTTGGGAATTTCCTGCCCATCCTCCCTTCTGGTTGTAGTTACGCTGTGTTGATATCCATTAGATTCTCATTAAGATCCATGTTAAGTTTTCTTAGTCGTTGTCATAACAGTGGCATCAAGTGGCATGCAGTAAGCTAGTCGACAGAGGGGCTTGCAGCAAATATGTGGGTGCATTTATTTCTAATGTTGCCTTTTGTTTCTCTCCATCATTTACTTCATGGCACACAATACTAGGACTTGTTTATTCTTTTTAAGTCATTTTGTGCAAGACTATAACCAGATCTTCCAAATGCATCACTTAGATCCTGCCATAGATACAAGTTTATACCTTTCCTCAGAGAGCAATACAATGCTTCAGGTTACTGTACATCATAAATTACAGAAGTGAATTGAGTTGCTTTTACAGTTTAAGGTGCATTTACTATCTTGTACACTTGAGTATTGAAAGAAAATTTATTATAAGGATCAATAAAAAGCAGTGGGTTTACCAGTATATGTTCAGATTCATGCAGAACTTTAATCTGTAGATCAAGATTAATAAAATAAAACTAGTGATTCAACTGCATTTAGAGCAAATCTACATTATCTATTGACCTCTGTTGCACATTGTGCATAGCGGAATGTTAAATAGGAGAGGATTAGCTAAAGATGCGGTGTCTGTCCCATAACTATCATTCATGTTAGAAATGTGCATTGTTTCTTTAATCAGCTTGATTTTCCGAATTGGAAAGGAGAAAGCAAGAAGATTTTTCTTTCTCTTTTCTACCCCATCTTCCTTTCTCATAAATCACGTACATTGAATTGATAGTGCAGCACCATAGGACTGTTGTTTACAACTCAGATTGATTCTTCTGCAGCACTGCCACTCATTCATATTCACTTCCTCAGCCTGTGACCCAAAATATTCTCCCAGGCAAAGTGGCAGAGTGCTGGTGAGGTCTGTAAAACTGTACAAAAACAAAGTTGCTGGAAAAGCTCAGCAGGTCTGGCAGCATCACTCTGTAAAACTGTACATGTCTGTGGCTTGGCTGGGGGAATACATTGAGAGGCATCAGAAAATATGGCTCCTTGAGTAGCAATGCTTGGAGTGACTATGTGCAGCAATATGCTTGAAAATTAGGCTGGGGTTATTTTCCCTGAAACGTCAGAGATTGAGGGGTGACCTTATAGACGTTTATGAAATCATGAGGGGCATGGATAGGGTGAATAGCCGACGTCTTTTTCCCATGGTAGGGGAGTCCAAAACTCAAGGACATAGGTTTAAGGTGAAAGGGGAAAGATTTAAAAGGGGTCTAAGGGCAACGATTTCATGCAGAGGGTGGTGTTTGTATGGAATGAGCTGCCAGAGGAAGTGGTGGAAGCTGGTACAATTACAACATTTAAAAGGCATCCGGATGGGGACGTAGAATGGGAAGTGTTTCAATTGATATGGGCCAAATGCTGGCAAATAGGACTAGATTAATTTAGGACGTGTGGTCAACATGGATGAGTTGGACTGAAGAGTCTGTTTTTGTACTGCCCAACTCTTTGTCTCTGACTCTATGACTCAGTGATAGACTTACCAAAGGAATGATCTCATTGTTTCATGAGGAACAAAGGGGTCATCACTGGCATATATTTATGATGTTGCTAAGCACAACCAGAGGAATCCTGATATTTTCTGTGAAGTTTGCAGTCTTAACTACACATGTGTTTCCAATGTCAGGTTCGCTTGGAATGGCCAACAGATCTCACCATCAACCCAATGGATAACTCCCTCTATGTTCTGGACAACAACATTGTGCTGCAGATCACGGAGAATCATCAAGTGCGGATTGCTGCCGGTCGACCCGTGCACTGCCAAGTGCCAGGCATTGAGTACACACTGGGGAAACAAGCAGTCCACACGGCTCTCGAATCAGCCAGCGCCATCTCGGTGTCCTACAGTGGTGTCCTCTACATCGCAGAAACAGATGAAAAGAAAATAAACCGTGTGAGGCAGGTGACTACGGATGGGGAGATTTCACTGCTCGCTGGTGCACCCTCAGACTGTGACTGCAAGAACGATGTCAACTGTGACTGCTACCAGACCGGTGATGGCTACGCCAAAGATGCCAAGCTCAACTCTCCATCCTCGCTAGCCGTCTCCCCTGATGGCATGCTCTACATTGCTGACATGGGTAATATTCGGATTCGAGCAGCCTCCAAGAACAAGCCAGTATTGACATCCATGAATTTGTACAAGGTAGCGTGCCCGTCAGAGCAAGAGCTGTACATCTTTGACATCAATGGCACACACCAGTATACCAAGAGCCTGATAACAAACGACTACCTCTACAACTTCAGCTACAGCAATGAAAACGACATCACATCTGTGACAGACAACAATGGTAACACCGTGCGGATCCGAAGGGATCCCAATCGCATGCCAGTGCGAATTGTGTCTCCAGACAACCAAGTGATCTGGTTGACTATTGGAACCAACGGAGGATTGAAAGGCATGACAGCCCAAGGTCAAGAGCTGGTTTTACTCACCTACCACAGCTACAGTGGCCTATTGGCAACAAAAAGTGACAAGACTGGATGGACAACTTTCTTCGAGTAAGGATCTCTTTAACTTGTAGACAGGCTGAACGGTGAATTGTTTTTGTTTCATAATTTTGATTCCTAAAACTATACCTTTTCCCAAGATGTACAGAATGAAAGATACTTGTCCTGATTAGCTCAGCATGAATTTTCTGTCTTACTAATTTATGAATGAATTTTGATGTTCACTTCTATTTGAGAAATTGTTCCCTTTTTATTCTATTCACACATGAGATGAGGGCATCCATAGGTGGGCCAGTATTTGTTGTCCATCCCTTGAGAAGGTGATGATAAGCCACCTTCCTGAACCACTGCAGTCTTTGGGATATAGATCTACCCACACTGCTGCTCTTATCCATTCTAACTCCTCTACTCCGGAAAGTGAAGAATTTTACTGGAATGTGGTTCCAGATGAATAGGTCAACAGCCAATTTCTTGCCCTTTGTTAATGATTGCTAGTGGTCGACACCCCCCACCCCCGATAACTTAAACCGAAACGCCCAGAGAAGCTTGCCTCGCCTCATATTCTATTAAGTGAGTGGTTAAATGAAAGAAATCCCCGATACTCATTTTATAATCAACAAGTAACAATTTACTTATTTAACTCTAACAGTTAACGAATTAAAAGAACTACTAACAAACTGGACAATTCCCCCTTAACTACAAACTATTTCCAAATAAAACATAATTCTAATGGTATGCTGTTCCAATTGATACAAGTCTCATTTATATCAACCAAATTAATTTAAAAAAGCTTAATCTCTTGAAATTGCAGCCAGGATAAGTCTTCTGGAATGTTCTTTGCCTTCTCTGCTGTCCTCCAGTCAGGAATGCCTTCCTCCATCAAACTCTTGTGTCAGGAGTATTAGCTAAGAATGCCACAGCACCTTTATTGAGATGGTGCTTACGCTGAGTTCTTAGAGATTTCTGTGAGAGCCAGTGATTTCCTCTTTCTTTAGAGCTGATGGCTGTTGAGAGCTGTTCTCTTAACAGATGACAGTTTGCTGTCACCAATTTTCAAATGACCTGTTCTTTTACAACCTTGATGACCTATTAAATTCTTACACTAGGATTGGTCCGAGGTTGTCAAAGCCATCAGATTTAAATTTAATTGGGCTTTGATATCGAGAGCCTAATTTAAATTAATTGGTGAAATTCAAAAACCTGTTGTCTTTGTAAAAATGCTGTTTTACCTGCTAACAGTATAGCCTTTTGAATTTCAAGAACTCTCTGTGCATCTGCTGCCGCCTGCAGATTTCTTTTCTAATCTCCAAGACTAAAAAATATATCTTTTAAAGGGACCACGCACTCTTCCCTTCTATCATTTTATAAACAAATTCTAATGTCCTACTTTCCAATCCACAAGTACTATACCAACATTGCAATACTAGAGGATGTTTAACAGCCAGGAAACAAGATATTTTTCACATCTTCAACCTGGGTTAGTTTTGAGCTCAGTTCTTATGTGTAGAATGCCAGTTTTGCTTTTGTATGCCAGTCTAATTCATCCAGATGCACAAAAAAAATTGTGTAGACAGTTTTCCATTTCTACACTCACAACACATTCAGAGTAAGGTGTAGGACATTTAAGAGTGAGAAAAGGAAGAATGTCTTCACGAAGAAGGCAGTGAATCTTTGAAATTCTCTCCCCTGGAGGGCTGTGGATGTGCAATCATTGAGCATGTTCAAGACATCGATGGAGACTAATGATATCAAAAGACATTGGGATAGATGGTCAGCCATATTCAATTGCATGGTAGCACACATTTGATGGCTAAGTGGCCTTTTCCTGTTCCTATGTTCCAAACTCCTATCTGATCCCAAATTTCCACATTCAATAGGTGGAGAATGCCAAATTGGCAGGCACAATGTCCTGGTCCGTGTATCAGCACACTTCAACTGTAGAAAGCAGAGCTCCATTCATGGTCTCCATGCAGCAAGACCTTTGAGGACCAAGTGGTTCTCCTCCCCTATTCCTGTGAAACCAAGATCAGTCACAACACTGGAAACTCTTGCCTCTTACCTGAGACTATCTAACGCAGACACTGAAGGGGAGTTCCTCCCACTTAATATGGCTCATTGACAAACATAGCAATTGGGAATGTAACCATGGTGCTGCCACATGTCTGTGGTTGTGCCCGTTTACCTGCATTGGCAGTGGGGGAGTCTTCTGCCAGGAAATTGCCTTCATAAAACTGGCCATTATTCAACCACCATAGGGAGCCAATAGCAAACCGCCTAATCCTGCAGGGAATTCTGGGCTTGCTCGCCTCCAGTTCCACCTCTGGCAGGTTTCCAAAACTCTGCCCAGCCCTCATGTCCCCGTTCAGACTGCAGCGATATTATTGGTAAAGTTGCAGCCAGGTTGAGCAAACAGCATTGGTTTGTACACCTTGCCTGATCTCATCCTCCAGTGTACCACAGTGGAGTTGACTGAGCAGCATCGGCATGAGTTTTTCACTCCGTTACATTCAAGGTCAATGAGAATTTTTGGTTTGATTTTCTTGGATTTGTTGCCTGTAGTTATTCACCTCCCTCAGGAGGTTAAAGAAATCGGGAAGGTTCCATGACAGTAGAGATTATGCACGCTCTGTTGCTCTGATCTTAACTGAAATTCTAGCCTAGTCAGTGGAAATGCTCTGCACATGGACTATTATATGTGAACTTTCCATTCAAAGTGATTTTAAAAGGGACTCCAGTCTTTGAAAAATAAATTCAGTGCTTGCATTTTGAAGTTGAAACCCAAAAAAAGTTACTATTTTTCAGGGGAGCCTGAAATAAACTGCTTTAGATCATAAACTCTTCAAAGAACCCTCTTTAAAGAGCCACTCTTCAAATTGTTTCCTTCAGCTATGACAGTGAGGGACGATTGACTAACGTTACATTTCCTACCGGTGTGGTCTCAAATCTCCATGGGGAGATGGAAAAGGCAATAACAGTGAATATTGAGTCATCCAACAGGGAGGATGATGTCACCATTACCACCAACCTCTCTTCAGTGGATGCCTTCTACACCATTGTTCAAGGTATTGTATATTTTTCATTTGACATTGATATGGGGCTAGAGTCACACGAAGACTAAACTGGGTAAAGAAAATAGATTTCTTTCCCTATAGCACATTTAAGAACCTGACTAACAATGCTCCCATAGTCAACATTATTGAAACTAGCTTTTGATCCCATATGCCATTGTTGTGATTTGAACCCATGTCCCCCAAACCTGTGGATTGCTAGTCCCGTGACATAAGCACTGGGCCACCACCTCCCCCATGCACACTCCTAACATAATTTCTGGATTGTGAGAACTGTAAAAATGCCCAGGCAGTTAGGACTGGAAATAAATCTCTCGATCTCAGAGCTGTAAAGAAGTCTGTAGCCATCACTACTAAGAAAAAGTCACTTCAGTGAGGAATCTTAAATTTAAGATAGCAAGAGATGTCACTGGGATTGAGAATCCGTAATGGATGTTGCTGGGAAAGGTGTCGACTCTTTGTTTTTGCTGCTTATATTCCTTCCTGAAAACCTTCTGAATTGACATTATATATGGTTCCATTTTTGATTCTCTTCTGAGTGATAAACTTCTGCTGTTTTACTCTGAGAATTTTCACTCTGAGATCTGACTTGTCCAGGATTAGCACCAATTGAGATCATAATATTCTTAATTGCCTGAGATTGTTACCTAGTTGGTTGAGGCACAGGTTTGTGCAGCAACCCCATCCCAGTTGGAACTAATGTAGAAACTTGAAGCAGGAACCAGTCATTCAGCCCTTTAAGCCATTCAGTATGATCAGGGCTGATCCTTTATCTCATCACCATATCCTCGCTTTCTCTCCATATCCGGTGATACCTCAAATATCTAAAATTTTATCAATCTCTTTTTTTAAATATACTCGATAACCCAGCCTCCACAGCCTTCTGTGGTAGCAAATTCCACAGGTTGACCACCCTACAAATGAAGGAATGTTTCTTCATCTCAGTCCAAAATGAACTGCCCTGAACCTGACAATATGACCCCTGGTTCCTAACTCTCTGACCAGACAATGAACCTTTGTTGCACTCCCTCTATAGCAAATGTATCCTAACAAGATTGAGGCCACTCAAAATTGTGTCCTAGAGGATGATTAACAGCCAGGAAACAGGATATTTTCACTTCTTCAACCTGGGTTAGTTTTGAGCTCAGTTCTTATGTGTAGAATGCCAGTTTTGCTTTTGTATGCCAGTCTAATTCATCCAGATGCACAAATTTAACTTTGACTTGGAACAAATTTGCCATTTAGAATCTGTTTCCATCAAGGATGAAAATCTCAAACTTCTCCAGTCTTTTTTCACAACTCAGCCTTTTAAATGTGGCAGTCTGACTCGAGTGTTCCTCCCTTCAGGGCTTGAATGTTTCTCTTGTGTTTTGTGACTCAAATCAGATAACCATAACTCCTGCTCTTTAACAAGACCCTTAACAGGACACCAGTGTGACTGGGAGAATTAGATACTGTGCAAGAGCTGAGGAATCTGCAAAGGATTTTGAAGGGGGACGGAAATGTACTAAAATTGTTTGGTTTTAGGAATGAAGCTCCAGAAGAACTAAAAGCAAAAGTAGCCAATTCAGCCCCTCAAGTCTCCTTCACCATTTGATACAGTCATGGCTGAGCTCATCTCAGCCTCAACTCCACTTTCCTGTCTGATGGATTCAAAACCTTGTCCAATGTGAACAGGAATAGGAAGGTGGAAGGGACAGAGATAGGATGGCTTGAGATTACCAGAAAAAAATTGGTGCACAGGATCAGTATGAAATCAGTAAACTGGAAGGCAGAATGATAGCTCAGGATAGGAAAGGATCTGATGACATAAGTTGTTTGTGCTAAGTATGATTGGCGTAAAGGTTATGACTATAAAATCTTTAGGCTAAATTAGGCCAGTTGCAGGAAGTGTTAATGCAAAGACATATCACTCTCTGAAAGATGCTGCACTGACAGAATAAATGTAAACCTGCTGCAGTCATTTAAAGTGGAAGCAAACATATTCCTGAGAGAAGCCGGCATTTTGAATAATATGAGATTGTCTAAGATAATGATCTAATTATCTAAGCTGCTACATAGCTGAGATTGTGAGAAGAGCTGTTGTATTTTTCTGGATCTCGCATGGTTGGTATGGGCACTCGGAGAGAAATTTCTTCCTATGTTCCCTCAGCTGGCCAGAGACTTTTATTTTCATCTTTTCATCTTCTGTGAAACAAAGCTACAATTGGATAGTGAGAAAGGTGTGTAAGATTCCTCTGTTTCCTGGATGAGGCCTCATGGCCGATCTCATTCTTTCTCATGACTGACGGAGTTGCAGCTCATGTAGGTTACAGCAAGGGCAAAGGAAGGCATTTCACAAGTCCAGCTTAGAAATTGGAAACAACCTCAGTGGAATTCTTACTCTGGGACATGGATTACTATTGGTTTGGAGCTATCTGATTCTGTGCAGGTGACAATAAAAATCTCCCGGATGACCTGGATGTGAGCTTTGGAATGTCTCCTGAGAACTGGGAGGAGGGTGGAGGAAAGTGTAAATAATCAGATGGTGTTCCTTTGCTGTAAGCAGCTTTGGCCTCTGAAGTAGTGCTGCTCCTCACAATTGCCGCTAGTCTCTGATTGGCCGGTAGTTTCAAGTCGGCACAGGACATTGCTGTCTCTGGAAGTGATCCTCTGAAGACCCCAATGGGTGACCACTGAAGTGCCTGATAGACACGTAGGGTCATCGGTTGTGATGGGGTGTGAGCTGCTCATAATGATGTCCAGCCCCTCGCTTGAAGGGAAAAGTTAGAGCTGAACATTCATGCCAAATAAAGTATAAGAAATACTCATCTTTAATTACAAAGAAACATGGAAAATTGGAGCAGGTCTAAGCCATTCAGCCCTTCAAGCCTGCTGCACCATTCGTCCAACACAGTCTCCTCTTCCTGTTTTTCCCTGTACCCTTTTGATCCATTTAGCCCTAAGATTTATATCGAACTCTTTCTTGAAAACAGTCAGTATTTTGGCCTTGACTGCTTTCTGTGTCAGGGAATTCCACAAGTTCACCACTCTCTTTGCGAATAAATTTCTCCTCATCTCAATCCTTAAGACCCTACAACATATCCTTAGACTCTGACCCATGGTTCTAAATTCTCCTGTCACCAGAAACATCCTACCTGTTGGAACGTTGTAGGTTTCTCTGAGACCCCCTCACCCCCATGCTTCGAAACTCCAGTAATATATAGACCTACCTGATCCAGTCTGTCCTCATGCATCAGTCCTCCCATCCTAACAATCAGACTGATAAACCTTCTTGCACTCCCTCCATAGCCAGAATATCCTTCCTCAAAAACCATTCTCACCCTAATTATAATTTCTTCCTGTTCTGTCAGAAGATACAAAAGCTTAAACACACATACCAACAGATTCGAGAACAGCTTCTTCCCCCATTGTTATTAGACTTCTGAATGGACTATTCTAATTTTAAATTTAATGTTGATCTCGCTCTTTGTGCACCTTCTCTGCAGCAATACCATTGTATTCGTCACTCTGTTCTACTACGCTAATGCCCTTTGTATGGTATGATCTGCCTGTACTGCACACTAAACAAAGCTTTTCACTGTTCCTAGGTACATGAGACAATAATAAACCAAAATCAATTCAAAAAATGAGGAGATCAAACTTGCATGTCAGAAGAATTGGTGTCAAAAGAACTGATTTTTTAACCATTACATTCCTGGATGAGGTTCCGAATTACTCAGAGAAACTGAGTTATTCCATAGATTATTAATACTTCTGAGCTGCTGGTAGTATTGTTGCTATATCTGATGTGTTAACACCCATGAGTTATGTCAAATCATGCTGCAGCGGTGTTAATAATTGCATTGTATTGGTCACATGCAAGATGCAATTCATCGCCTTCCAAGGATGGCTGTAGGTGGCAGGCAGGAGACCAAAGTGGACAATGCCATGTATAAGCTAGCCAGAGTGAATTGAATATCAATCCAGGGATTCACACAGGTTGCTGAAAATGCAGGCAGAATCCCACATCATCAAGCAAGTCACTGCAAGTCTGAGATCAGCTCCTGGTTATCCATGATATCCAGCCAGAAGTTAACCAGCTTCTTCACATGCATCTTTGGAAATTCATTGAGTTCTCAAGACTTTCCAGCCCTCTCTTTTCTCTTACCAGCAGAGCATTTGAGGAATAATTCGCAGAGGAGCAAAAGAGATGTCGAGGAGAGTAAAGAAACTGCAGAGCATATTCTAAACAAATAAAGAACAAACCCTGACATTCAGGGGTTAAAACTGAAATCCTTGTGAACACTATTTAACAACGTCATTAACCTGTCAAAAATGAAGCAGCAACTTTGTTGAAGTACCCACTCAGGAATTTAATGCTAATATGGTAACCGTTGTTAATGGAACCCAGTAGGATTTCAATCCCCAAGCAGTTCAGGTTACAGGGAAGTTCATACCATAAGCAGCTTGGTACTAACCTCCTGACACCTCAGCACTCTTTTTACTGTCAGTCAAGCAAGAGCTTTGTGATTAGGCAATTGTTGCAATACTAAGGCAGCTATAAAAGTCTGCATCATACATAGCATCCCAATTATAGAGGGAATGCTTTAGAAACAAGGCAATTACAAGAAGTTGATGTATGGCTGTATGCTAGCTGAGTCTCTTTCTCTCTCTCTCTCTCTCTCTCTCTCTGGCTCCAGTTATGTAGTCACTGGTAATGTAGAAATGGGAAGAAGACTGCATTGATGGAAGGATTTGGGAAAAAAAGTCACAACATGTGTCAAAATATCTTTTGACTGTCTTTCAGCTTTCAGATTAGTGTAATGATGGAGCGATCATCAATTACAGCTGCTGTATGAGACACTTGAAAATCACTGGCCCTAAAATGTGTTTCTAAGCCAGGTTTTCGTGGGTCTTGTAACATCATCATTTAAATCTTTTCCGCCAGTGATTTTGTTTCTGAAGATTGGGCCTTCATTGTTGTGTAACATGACAGGTATTAAAGAACCATTGAGATCCCCAGTTAGACTTGCAAATGTGTATCTGTAAGAAAATAGCAATTGCATTTCTAAAGTAATTACAGTGGATTGGCGTGATGGATTTGATAGAGTACGAGCCAGTCTTGAACTGAACATGGTGCAATGTCATTTTACTTTGAGGCAAAAGAATATAAGAATAGGAATTACATAAATATTTAATTCGCTTCTGTCCAGTTCCTCCAAGTGAGGTATGAGATGATTACATCCCCAAAAATCATTTTTCAACTGTATTCTTTAACAACTGTGATGGTTTAGAAATGAAAATTTTGGATTGTGGCAGGAGTAACATTTAGAACTGAAGTGTTATTGTGATATGAATATTAATGTTCAGATATCCATTTATATTTTAATTAATATTAATTTTCCATTGTATTCTAGATCAGTTGAGAAACAGCTACCAGGTTGGTTATGATAGCTCCCTCCGGGTGATGTATGCCAATGGCATGGATACCAGTTTCCAGACAGAGCCCCATATCCTGGCTGGCACAGTGAATCCAATCATAGCCAAACGTAACATCACACTGCCTGTGGAAAACAGTCTGAACCTGGTGGAGTGGCGATTCAGAAAGGAACAAACTAGAGGAAAAATCAGTATCTTCGGGCGCAAACTGAGGGTAAATAATTTCCTGTTATTTATTAGTTGCTGTGTTCAATTTTTTTACAACATTTGGACACGAGCATCTAAAAAGTCATCTACTTGTTAACTCATTGAATCACATTGCATGATAAATGCATTGAGTGCAAGAGTTTGGGAAGTCATATTGCAGCTGTACAGGACACTGGTTAGCCCACTTTTGGAATATTACAGTTCTGGTTTCCCTGCTATAGGAAAGATTTTGTGAAGCTTGAAAGGGTTCAGAAAGGATTTACAGGAATGTTTCCAGGGTTGGAGGGTTTGATCGATAGGGAGAGGCTGAATCGGCCGGGGCTACTTTCCATGGAGCACCGGAGACTGAGGGGTGACCTTACAGAAGTTTACAAAATTATGAGGGACATGGATATGGTGCATACCAAAGGTCTTTTCCCCAGGGTAGGGGAGTCCAAAACTAGAGGGCTCAGGTTTAAGGTGAGAGGGGAGAGATTTAAAAGGAACCGAAGGGGCAACATTTTCATGCAGAGGGTGGTGCATATGCCAGCAGCTTATGTGATAACCACACTGCATGTGCTTCAGTCAAATAACTGTATCTGACAGTCAATGGGGAACAATCCTTAATCATGAGGGGCATGGATAGAGCAAATAGACAAGGTCTTTTCCCTGGGGTGGGGAAGTCAAAAACTAGAGATCATAGGTTTAAAATAAGAGAGAAAGATTTAAAAGGAACTTAAGGGGCAACTGTTTAACGCAGAGGGTGGCGCGTGTATGGAATGAGCTGCCAGAGGAAGTGGTGGAGGCTGGTACATTTACAACATTTAAAAGGCATCTGGATGAGTATATGAACAGGAAGGATTTAGAGGGATATGGGCCAAATGCCAGCAAATGGGATGAGGTTAATTCAGGATATCTGGTCCACGTGGACAAGATGGACCGAAGGGTCTGTTTCCATGCCGTACTGCTCAGACTCTGCCTGTATCTATGCTCAGAGCTATTGGATCTCCTGCACCAAGGAAAGATGAAGATGTTAGGCAGGGAGGAACCACATAACCCCCTTCAAAACACATCTGATGTTCCACCCATTCATTTAAATTACTAAAGAATAGAGATGTAATCCATAACTATGTCTCTTACCTAAAAAGTTTGTCCAGATTGATGTGGGATGCTTTTCATGTCCACCATGGCTCAAACTGCTGTATTCTTGGCTCTAAGTCAAAAGGATTTACTTTCAAATCCTACTTCAGGACCTTAGTGTTGGAAACTAACCTTGCATTCCATTTCAATGCTGAGGGTATGCTGTACTTTGGTAGGAAGAATGGAGGCACAGATTATTTTCTAAATAGGGAAAGGCTAGAGAATTTCTGAGGCACAAAGGGGACTTGGGATTCCTAGTTCAGGATTTCTTTAAGATTGACATGTGTCAGTTAGGAACGCAAATGTAATGTTAGCATTCATTTTAGAAGTGCTACAGTACAAGAGTAGAGTGATACTACTAAGGCTGTAAAAGGATCTGGTCAGACTGCATTTGGAATATTGTGAGCAGTTTTGGGCCCCGTATCTGAGGAAGGATGTGGGCACTCAGGAATATTACAGGAATGATCCCGGGGATGAAGGGCTTGTCATATGTGGAGCAGTTGAGGGTTCTGGGTCTGTACTCGATGGAATTTAGAAGTATTGGTGGGGGGTGGATTTCATTGAAAATTACAGAATACTGAGCATCCTGGATAGAATGGGAATGGAGAAGATGTTTCCACTAGTAGGAGAAACTAGTACCCAAGGGTACAGCCTCAGAGTGAAGGGATAACCCTTTAGAACTGAGATGAGGAGAATTTCTTCAGCCAGAGGGTGGTTAATCTGTGGAATTCATTGCCGCAGAGGGCTATGGAGGCCGGGTCACTGAGTGTGTTTAAGACAGAGATAGATCGGCTCATGATTAGTACAGGGATCAGGGTTTCAGGGAGTAGGCATGAGAATGTGTTTGAGAAAAACATGTCAGCCATGGCAGAACAGACTCAATGGACTGAATGTCCTCATTCTACTCCTATATCTTATGATGTAATGCAGTGTTGAAAGTGCTGTCTTCTGGAAGATGAATGAGAGCCTTGCCTGCTCTATCAAGTGGCTGGAAAAAATGTGATGTTAATTTAAAGAAGAATTGGAAATATTGTATTTGTACGTCTTCATTCCCCAACAATGAACATCGCAATAATAGATTATCCGAGTGTTATCATATTGCTAATTGTTGGGTTCCTGGATTTTCTTCCTCATAACAATGATTGTATGTCAAAATTACTTTGTTAGTTGTAAAAGCACTTTAAGGTGTCCTGAGATCATGGAAGGCAACATATAAATGCAAGAAATAACAAAGTGTGGAGCTGGGGGAACACGACAGGCCAGGCAGCATCAGAACAGCAGGAAAGTTGACGTTTCGGTTCAGGACCCTTCTTCAGAAATGGGGAGGGAGAAGGGAGCTCAGAAGCGGCATGGTGGCTCTGTGGTTAGCACTGGTGTCTCACAGCGCCAGGGGCCCGGGTTCGATTCCAGCCTCGGGCGACTGTCTTTGTGGAGTTTGCACGTTCTCCCCTTGTCTGTGTGGGTTTCCTCCGGGTGCTCCGGTTTCCTCCCACAGTCCAAAGATGTGCAGGTTAGGTGGATTGGCCATGATAAATTGCCCGTAGTGCTCAGGGATGTGTAGATTAGGTGCATTACAAGGGGATGGGTCTGGGTGTGGACTTGTTAGGCCGAAGGGCCTGTTTCCACACTGTAGGGATTCTATGATTCTGTGAAATAAATAGAGAGAGGAGGGGTGGGGCTGGAGAAGGTTGGGTGGGGCGAATAGGTGGGAGAAAAGAAGGACAGGTTGTGTCAGGTTAAGGAGGCAGGGATGAGAAGGGAGGGTTAGACATGGGATGTGGCCGGGGGCGGGGAGATTTTAAAGCATACGTGTGATTTTCGGCTAAGAAAGGAATCGATCTTAGCTGTAACACTGATTATCTCAGATCATGCAATAACAATGGTAACATGAATGAGCAAAACAGGACCTCAACAAGCATTCAGTTCTTTCAGGAGGCAATGAGTCAATGGAACAAAATTTGTTTTCCATGAATATGAAAAATAAGATTCACAAATCCTGCTTATGTGTAATTGGATACATTTTTATGAATCCATGCAAGTTGAATTTTAATGAATGAAACCTCGTATATTCAAAAGCTTTGTTTAAAGTTCAAAGCTATTATTGACAATAAAAAATACATTATCATGCAAACCCCGTACCAGTTGTAATAAAGGGTGCAGTACATTTTGATGCTAGTAATATTCTGGAAGCATCAGCCTCAAGAGAACAAGGGGGTGTCTATGAATATTGTCAGCTCTTCAATGTATTGCATTTGACTAACCTTAACCACTCCAAACCCTTCACATCATATCACTGATCAACATCGTAACTACTGGTACTCACATAGCGCACTTAATGTGGCAAATGGTCACAAGGTGCTTCAGATAAGTATTATGACAGGAAAACTTGACCGTACAGGTCATAAATTGCTAAACGGAGACAGAAGTCTAAACATTTTGCACTCTTCAGGACTGCGATGCAAGAAATAGACTTAAAAAAAAGAGCTAGCGTGAGATGAGAGTGCTGACTGATGAGGCAGTCATTTGCATGTAGAGCAGCAACAGCAGTTAACTAGCAATCTTAAACTGCTTTCACTGTTTTTTCAATGATAATGTCCCAATGATGACCTTCTTCTCATGCTGTATCAATTGTTGACCTTCTTTCTCAAGTCTCTTTCTTATGTCCTCATTTGAAGAGTGCGCAATGTAAAAGCTTCACTTCGCGTCTCCTTTTTGCAATGTTAAAAGCTTGGCACGAAGTCACATGTGGAGATAGTGTAGCCGAAGACCAAAAACCCAATTAACATTTTTATGGAGCATCTTAACGGTGGAAAGAGAGAATGAGGGTTTTAGAGAGGCGATTCTGAGGCTTATGGTTTTGTTTACTGAATCAAATGAAGAGTGTCTGAACATCATTGCGGTGAGATTGTGATTGTTCAACATTATTCCCCAGTTTAGTGGTGTTTCATTCATAATCATGAAATTGTCAGTGATCGGTTTCATCCACACTGCCTCTTCAACCACCACCAATTTGTTCGGTTTGTCACTAACTGACTTTACTCTGTGTGTGAGCACATCCTTATTCTTTTGGAATTGTAATAGGTAATGGATATCGCTGCTTCTTTTCTTTTTGAAAAAATGAACAAACTTTGTCCCTATTTATGAAGCTCAGGCCGTGGGAAGACAATCTCAAATGTTTTCCAAAACACGCCTGTAAACGTGCTACAGATCAATGTGGAAAAGGCTTTGAGCAGAAGCCAAGCTGTCTTTTAATTCAGTGAAAAGGCAGTTAAATTCATTGTTCATTTACATCAGGAAGTATGTCAAAAGTAATTTGCACTGAGGAACAAAATCAATCACTTTGAACACTTTAGAAAACAGCCAGTTTGTCTGAAAAGCAATAGTGGGGTGGGACATGAGCACTCCTAATTGATTTCTTCTGGGTGTTTTCTATAAGGTGAACGGCAGGAACCTCCTCTCCATTGACTTCGATCGAACAACTCGGACAGAGAGGATCTATGATGATCACCGCAAGTTTCAGTTGAGGATCGTCTATGATCAGTCAGGCCACCCAACGCTCTGGCTGCCAAGCAGCCGACTGACAGCCGTCAACATCACCTATTCCTCCACTGGCCAGATCTCCAGTATTCAGCGGGGCCCACTGGGCGAGAAACTGGAATATGACAACAAGGGGAGAATTATGTCCCGCATGCTGACTGACGGAAAAACCTGGAGTTACACATACCTCGACAAGGTATGTGTAACAATAAGGAAGCACGTACCCTTTCTCGAAGCGTTTGAGGGTGCATCCTTTTCTCTAAAGCACATTCGGCACCAAAAAATAATTAAACGTAGTCTGGCACAGTGTAGTTACACATTACATGGTAAAGCTAATGATCTTAAACTGCAAATTTACATGTCCAAGTAGATTATTGCCTAGCTTTGCTAAAGACGTTTAGGTCAAGGATGACTTAATTAAGTAAATGTATTCTCATTCAGAATGATAATTTCCTTTGTCACGTAATTTGCAATTATATTCTGTTCTGTTTTACAGTCCATGGTGCTACTTCTGCACAGCCAACGCCAGTACATCTTCGAGTATGATTTATTGGATCGTCTGTCTGCAGTCACGATGCCCAGTGTCGCCCGTCACACCATGCAGACCATTCGCTCCATTGGCTATTACCGTAATATTTACAACCCCCCAGAGAGTAATGCCTCCATGATTGTGGACTACAGTGAGGAAGGGCTGCTCCTGCAGACGGCTTACCTGGGAACAGGCCGGCGTGTGCTGTACAAGTACAGGCGGATGTCAAAGCTGTCCGAGCTCCTGTACGACAGCACGCGGGTCAGCTTCACCTACGACGAGACTGCCGGCGTGCTCAAGACGGTCAACCTACAGAGCGAGGGCTTCATCTGCACCATCAGATACCGGCAAATTGGCCCCCTGGTCGACCGACAGATCTTCCGTTTCAGCGAAGACGGCATGGTGAACGCCCGCTTCGACTACAGCTACGACAACAATTTCCGGGTGACCAGCATGCAAGCCGTCATCAACGAGACGCCCCTGCCCATTGACCTGTACCAGTTCGACGACATCTCCGGCAAGTTTGAGCAGTTTGGCAAGTTCGGCGTGATCTACTACGACATCAACCAGATCATTTCAACGGCTGTGATGACATACACCAAGCACTTCGACGCACACGGACGGATCAAGGAGATCCAGTACGAGATATTCCGGTCCCTCATGTACTGGATCACCATTCAGTACGACAACATGGGGCGGGTGACCAAGCGAGAGATGAAGATTGGCCCCTTTGCCAACACCACCAAGTATGGCTACGAGTACGATGTTGATGGGCAGCTTCAGACCGTCTACTTGAACGATAAAATCATGTGGAGGTATAACTACGACTTGAATGGGAACTTGCATTTGCTGAACCCTGGCAGTAGTGCCCGCCTGACCCCACTCCGCTACGATCTGCGAGACCGGATCACTCGCTTGGGTGACGTCCAGTACAAGCTGGATGAAGATGGCTTCCTGCACCAGCGGGGGGGTGACGTTTTTGAATACAACTCCAAGGGCCTCCTTACCAGAGTTTACAGCAAAGCGGGTGGCTGGAACATCCAGTACCGTTACGATGGCCTGGGGCGACGTGTCTCCAGCAAGACCAGCATCGGTCAGCACCTTCAGTTCTTCTACGCTGATCTGAACTACCCGAACCGAATAACTCATGTCTACAACCACTCCAGCTCAGAGATCACCTCCCTCTACTACGACCTGCAGGGTCACGTCTTTGCGATGGAGATCAGCAGTGGGGAGGAGTTTTACATTGCTTCCGACAATACCGGCACACCACTGGCTGTGTTCAGCAGCAATGGTCTGATGATTAAGCAGATTCAATATACTGCCTACGGCGAAATCTACCTGGACTCAAACCCTGACTTTCAGCTGGTGATTGGCTTCCACGGTGGCCTGTATGATCCTTTAACAAAGCTGATCCACTTTGGGGAGAGGGACTACGATATCCTGGCCGGGCGATGGACAACCCCTGACATCACCGTTTGGACAAAAGTCGCCTGTGACCCAGCACCGTTCAACCTTTACATGTTCAGAAATAATAACCCAGTGGGCAAAGTCGAGAATATCAAGGACTACATCACAGGTAAAAGAGAAATTCAACCGAGCCAAATCCTTGTCAGTGAAATCTGCCAAGTTCACACCAATTTACTCAGCAAGGAATTGAGCAAATCTCTCCGAAACGATTGTTCGGTTTGGCAAAGAGATAAGCTAAAAATAACTTGAGTGAACAAAAGAGAATTATTGCCCATCAAATGAACTGTTACATTTCAGTCTATAAGACCTGAAATGGCACGGCAGTGTGGTAGCAGGAGATTTTTTTGTTCCCATGATGAACTTCCGAATGGACAACAAAGTTCAAATTGAATAGAAGTAAACGTCATGTGAAGCATACTGTAAAACACAGGAACAGGAGTAGGCCATTCAGCCCCTCAAGGCTGTTCCTCCTGAGATTATAGCTGATTTGTGATCTAACTTTATATCCCTGAGCCTTTGACCCATACCCCTTAACACCTAAATAAAAGTTGTTTTCAGAAATGCAAGGAAGTAACAGGTATTATCTGGAGGTTGATAGCTGATGTTGTTGAGGTGGTGACTTTTTTAATCCAAAAGTGAGTGCCACTGGCTAGGACAGAATTTATTACCCATCCCTAATTGCCCGGAGGGTCGCTAAGAGTCAACAACGTTGCTGTGGATCTAGGAGTTACATGTAGGCTAGACTGGATAAGATAGCAGATTTCCTTCCCTAAAGGACATTAGCAAACCAGATGGGTTTTTAAAACAGCTGACAGTGGTTCCATGGATGCCATTAGACCAGTATAGTTTTAATTCCAGATATGTATTGAATTCAGAATTTGCCATGTGTCATGTGAACCCATACCCCCAGATTATTACCCTGGGCTCTAGACTATTAGTCCAGTGACAATACTACCACATCACTGTCTCCTGTTTGGCTATTGTACGTTTTGCCATACGTAGGATCAATTATCATTTACTAGCTATTCAATCCTTAAAAAAAGTTGCTGCAAGAATTCTTGGAGGAAATAAAATTATCTATTGTTTATAATTCAGCCTGAGTTTTAAAAAAAAGTGCTGTTTCTGCTTAGTTATGTCAAATTCTTGCACCTTCCTCCCCGAAAAGACTCTGTATAGTTTGCTGAGCATGTTCTGTTTGAAGGCAGCATTGGTATTATTTAATTTGTTTTTTTTTTCAAACTTAGTCAAACATATTACAACACACCTCCAGGGCTATGGGACTTAAACCAGGATCTTCTGGCCCATTGACACAGCCAATCTAGCACAAGCCCCACTTCATTCTGTTTGTTTGCCAACTGTCAACTTAGTGGGATTAGCTGTGACAACTTGTTTAGCCAGTCAGTGCAGAATTGAACTGGAACCTAGTCTATATACACTGAGAAACTGCTATTTACAGACACCATATTACATTTGTGCACTTCCAATGAGTGGGCCCTCATTTAAGTCTTCCCCTGTTGCGTTCAATCCACCACAGGAATACAATTAACACCCAATTAATAGAGCCCTCATGGCACAGTGATAGCATTCCTGCCTCTTGGCCAGAAGGTCAAAGTTTAAATCCCAAGTGCCCCAAAAATGTCCCAAATCTGAGCAGCTTGTTTAAGTGACTAGAATAAGACCATCTCAGCAGACAAGCCAATATAGAAGGGCTCTTGTGGTGCAATAGTAATGTTCCTACTGCTGATCAGGTTCAAGTCTCACCTGCTCCAGAAGTGTGCAATAACATCTTTGACAGGTTGATGAGGGCAGTGTCTCTACAATTAACACTATGTTCCCTGGATTTTCGTACAGATGGAACCTAATTTTAAAGTATTAAGAGTGGGTCTGTATATTTAAAATGGATTTACAATTTATCCTATCAGCCCACACAGTGGCCAGCCTGTTTGTACAGCATGCTGACCTTCTTTTCTTCCTGTATTTCTTCCTGTAAGTTACAACCCTTTTCCCTCCTGATAACATCAAACGCCCTACAGCGTTTTCTATGTGTAAGAACAATCAAGAGTTGTGAATTTAGCGTGCACCTGGCAAACACTGGATTTTTACCTTGATAGTATCTATGTGGTCCTCCAAATCATAGGGGAAACTCCAAACTGGAGGCCCAGGACTGGACACTCGCAGTTATTAAAAGTGTTATCATCTTTTTCTTCAACCACATAATGCACTTGGCAGCATCTTTCGTTGGGTTAGATGAATGGTGTTGGGAGCAGAACACCACTTATCCGTAAAGTGAGCACAGCCATCCCAGGATTCCCAGGATGTGCTAGCCACATGTATTATAATTAGTTGAGGTCATCATGTCTGTGTTCTGTGTGTTCGCTGAGGTTCTACAATGGTTCCCCAACTTTAAGGCCAAGTCTGGGAGGATAATGTCAGTAATGGTCATACAGGAAACGGGAGTAGGCCATTCAACTGTTTGAGCCTGTTCCACAATTCAATGAGATAATGGCTGATCTGTGGCCGAAGTCATATACCTGCCATACTAATGCTGAACAAAAATTTATCCATCTCAGATTTAAAATCAAGACTGATCCTGCATCTACTGCAGATGAACAGAAAACTGGAGAGGAAAAGAAATGCTAACTGAAAGGATTGTGTTTTGGTGCTGAATCAGATACAAAGAATCACCCTGACATCTTCCCTAGTAAACTTTCTAATGCCCCACACCATTGCATGACAGGAAAGGCGATTGAGAAAATATCTTCTTTTTGGGATGTATTCCACTTTTACATGACAGAAGAGTTTACACACTTCAAAAATGCTGGTGTGTCAAGTATATAGCACAATAAAACACACATTTTGTTTGTGCTGTGGGGTCCATCTGTTCTGAAAGTGACTGATACCTTTGTTGTATTCTCGTTCTCAATATTATCTTGTCTCCACAGATGTCAACAGTTGGCTACTGATGTTTGGGTTCCAGCTCCACAATGTTATTCCTGGTTTTCCTGTGCCAAAGCAGGGCCTGGAAGAACCTTCATATGAACTTATAAAGAGTCAAGAATGGAACGATGAACCGGTAAGCTTTGTCAACACTATCACCCGGTGACAAAATGATGCAAAGCAAACAAAGCCTTTGATATCTAGGGCAGAGTTAATGTCACGGTGTTGATGGGGTGATAACCCAGATCCTTAAGGAGGAATGCAGTCATCAGCACCTCCCCCATCTAAGATTTTGGAGTTCACTTTAAATTTAATTGTAAGACTATATCAATTGCAATTAGAAAATGAGTTAGCGTGAGTAAATCTGTGTTTACTAGTTCTGATTGGTTACAAGAGCCATCCCATGGACAAACCTGTTTTCATAAGGCTTACAGAACTTATTAAGTTTATCAGAACAAGTGCAAAAACAGTTCATAATAAGGGTTGTTGTTTTCATTCACTCTAATTCAGCATGCCCGTTCATCCCAGTGATTGACAAAGCACTTGTCTCTTATCGTATTCTATTTGACAGAAGCTCTCCTGTTTTCATTCTTTCTTCCTTGTCCATCAAACCACCAAGAATCACCACTTATTAACCCTAGTCACTCACTACTCCTTGAAGATATTTTTAATCAACCTGTTCAAAGATGTTATTGCACATCCCCGGAGCAGGTTGAACTTGAACACAGGTCACCTGGCAGAGGTAGGCACACTACCACCATTCTACAATAGCACTCAAGAGGCTCCCTAGCACATTAGTACGTGGAGATAGCAAGAAATGCAGATGCTGGAGTAAGAGTCAATGCAGTGTGGAGCTGGAGGAGCACAACAGCTCAGGCAGCATCAGATGAAGGGTCCTGATCTGAAACGTTGACTTTCCTGCTCCTCTGATGCTGCTTGACCTGCTATGTTCCTCCATCTCCACACATTAGTACATGAACAGCTCATGGTCAATCGTGGATTGGCTAGATAATGTCTGCCCAATTCCTGACTGTTTTCTTTAAGAGTAATTGTCATCTTTATGACATCAGTTCCTGGTCACTCCTGTTCATTTTTTGATATGCCAATCATTTTGTCATCACCTCTTTTGCCTCTTAGCTTCCTAACTCCCCGGATCTTTCACAAGTCAAGATGGCACCAGTGATTAACCAGTAATTAACCTCCCAGTCATTAACAATCATTCCAAATGTCACAATTTATTCCAAAACCGATCAATATCCTTTAATTAAAAGGTTTCCAGTTGTTATCTGAAACACATTAACTGATGATATTTTCCAAAGGCCATATGGCCTTCTTTTCTCTGAGACTTTAATGTATTTTAAGTTACAAAAACTAAACCATTTTAAAGCATAGCTGTGTATCTTGTGAAAACCTGTTACCTCAAAGCATTCCCACATGTGTGAGCCTAAGTTTATATTAGCTTGAAACCTAAAACCATTAACCCATGACCAGTTTTGGAATGGCCAATTTGCCTTTCTTCCTTCCGGAAATTGTTTACAACTAACTGCGCTCAAATAGAATGTATTTTAATTCCTCACTTGCTTAATCATTAATTATTGAAAAATTATATCATCCTATTGTGAAATGGTGCGATTTATTGGCTATCAGGAAGAAGCAGCTTCAAGTACTGGTATAAGGCACTTTGTGGAAAAACAATTAGATATGACAAACCAGTTTTTATTTGCCTGTGAGGTTAGGGGCTGGATTTTTATCATTTCTCCCTCCCCACAATGAGAGAACGTTTGAACAATGAAATCACCATTGACCTAGATTTACCTGCTCTTATCCCAGAGTTTCACAATCAGCTGTGTATACATGGTGGACTTCCCTCCCATCCATCTGTGCAGTTTGTCCAGATGAGAACTGAACTCACACACACACACACACAAACAATTGATGTGCTACTTTAAGCCAGTGGGATCTTTGCAGTAGTCATTGAGGAATTGTTTCCTTAACGTTGCAGATTATTGTCCTTGATGGCCAGAGGTAAACTGCTGATACTTCATGTTGCGAAAGATTTATCTCTTGTGAGCAAAAATAAATTAGTTGCAGGCACATTATTTAATAGTTTGAAACTACCATAATTTGTCTTTCATTTAATTAAATAATACAGCACTGCAGCTGACAAAACAGATGTTAGGCTGTTTTAATTGATCTCTTAAAAGAGATGCTGCCTATATAGAAAGGATTTTATGTGTCGTTATTTTCCACAGGTTGATTGATTTATTGATTGTAATGTTGTTTGAAGATGAGTGCTAGGACCCCTTGCCATGGCTGTCCCGTTTCTTATTCCTCTCAAAATGGAATGTGTAGTTTAAGTGGCATTCCCTCCATCACCTTATCAAACAGCGGATCTTCATGTGTGGATATACACAATGCAAGTACCAATCGGCCATTTGGCCATGTAGGAGGCATCAAATCTCAGCCTCACCCTTTAACACATCCACCTTACTTGATACAGAGCAGGAGTTGGCCCTCTAGCTCACACCCCTGCTGCCAGTACCCTCTCTGTGAACACATGTTCCCTGACTCTACCCCAGGATAGCCCAACTCTAACCATAAGCTTGTGAATTATTAGAGACGTTCTGTACTGTTGTCACCAGTAGGAATAGTTTCTCTCTATCTGCCCTATCTAATTATTGAATCATTTTAAATACACACTTAAAAGACCCTGAAACCTCTATGTCCATGGTAACAAATTCCTAGTCGACTCAATCTGACTGTAAGACATAGAAGCAGGCCATTTGACCCATTGAGTCTGCTCTGCCTTTCGATGAGATTGTGGCTGATCTAATCATTCTCAACTTTATTGTTCTGCCTTTTCCCCATGACCCTTGATTCCCCAACTGATTACTAATCTGTCTATCTCAATTTTAAGTGTACTTAATGACCCAGCCTCTACTGTCCTCTGCAGTAAAGAATTCCACAGACCCATGCCCTCTGAGAGAAGAAATTCTTCCTCATATCTGTCCTAACTGGGTGACCCTTTGCTCTGAGTTTATGCCCTCTGGTCCTAGATGCTCCCAGTAGTGGGGGAATAACATCTCTGTGTACACTCTGGCAAACCCGCTAAGAATCTTATATTCTCCTAAACACCAAAGTATACAGGCCCATCCTATTAATTTCTCCTCGTACGAAAATTCCCTCCAGACTTAGGATCAACCGGGTGAAGCTTCTCTGGAGTGCCTCCAATATCAGTATATCTTTCCTTTAAACAGGGGCCCAAAATTGTCCACAGTAATCCGGTTGTGATCCAACTAGTGCCTTGTACAGCTTTAGCAAAACTTCCCTTTTTGTTTTGTTCCACTGCCTTTGAAATAAAGCCCAACATTATGTGCTGAACTTGGATGTTACCTTTCATGATCCTTGCATGAGGATCCCCTAAATCTCTCTGTACTGCAGCGTTTCTGCTTTAAACAATATTCAGCTCTGCTATTGTTTCTGCCAAAGTGCATAACCTCTCATATCCCTACATCAAATTCTATCTGCCAAGTTTTTGTCCACTTGTTTAACTTGTCCCCCTGCAGACTCTTTGAGTCATCTTCACCACGCGCCTCCCCAGCTATTTTGTGTCAGCTGCAAACTGGGCTACAGTACAGTGACTTCCCTTAACCAAGTCATTAATATTTTTGTAAATAATTGTGACTTCAGCACTGAACCCCATGGCATGCCCCTCATTACACATTGCTAAACTGAAAATGCTCCACTTACCTGTCTCCTACGAGTTGGCCAATCCTCTATCCGTGCTAACAGGTTACTCTTACGATTGTGGTGTGTTACTTTATTAAGTAGCCTTATGTGCAATACCTTCACTGATCAAGTTTCAGAAATTGTACACATTGCATCTACTGCAACCAATCCTCTCAATTTAAATCTTTAGTCCCAGTAACATTTTGGTCAGTCTGCACTGCAACCCCTGCAAAGCCAATGTGTCCTTCCTCAGCTTTTCTTGTAACTGAGCACAGTACTCTAGACATGGTCTGAGCAGGGCTTCACACAACTGCAGCACAACTTTGTATTCCCTCCCCCTTTGAACAAAGGCCATCCATCCCTTAGCTTTTTACATTACCTCTGTATCTGTCTTTCAGTTCTTCGTCATGTTCGGACATGAAGCCTCTATCTTTCTTAGGTCCAAATGGGATGACCTCAACTCTCCCCATTGATGTACATTTACAACTTGTATTGATGTTTCTTTAGATCTGTTTTTGTGTTTGGAAATACATCTTGGCATTTTACTTTCCTAGTGCATTAAATAGGAAAAACAGCATTTTACAACAAAAGGGTAGTTTATCTATTGTATTTTGTTTCAGAATGCAAAAGGAATTTATATGTACTCAGAAGTAATACTCAATTTTTTTTTGTACTTGTTTCTAGGTTTTTTCTGGAGTACAACAAACCATAGCACGGCAAGCAAAGGCTTTCATGGGCCTGGGGAAAATGCCAGAAATTCAGACTGGCAAACACCAAGCCAGTGGAGAGAAGCCATGGCTCTGGTTTGGAACAGTCAAATCTCTGGTTGGCAAGGGGGTCATGCTTGCAGTGAATCAAGGAAAAGTGACAACCAACGTGCTCAACATTGCAAACGAAGACTGCATTAAAGTTGCAGCTGTACTGAACGGAGCATATTACCTGGACAACTTACATTATACAATTGAGGGCAAGGACACTCACTACTTCATCAAAACTGCTTCACCTGAAAATGACCTTGGCACTCTGCGGCTGACCAGCGGACGCAAGGCATTAGAGAATGGCATCAACGTCACTGTTTCCCAGTCCACGGCTGTGGTGAGTGGCAGGACTCGAAGGTTTGCCGACATCGAAATACAGTACAGCGCTTTGTCCCTCCACATTCGCTATGGGACAACCCTGGATGAGGAGAAGGTTCGGATACTGGAACAGGCCAGACAGAGAGCGCTGGTGAGTGCTTGGACCAGAGAACAGCAGAGAGTGAGAGACGGCGAGGAAGGAATCAGGTTATGGACAGAAGGAGAGAAGCGACAGCTGCTGAGTGCTGCCAAGGTGCAAGGATATGATGGGTACTATGTACTCTCTGTGGAGCAATACCCAGAGCTAGCAGACAGTGCAAACAATATTCAGTTCTTAAGACAGAACGAAATAGGAAAGAGGTAACACACAGGCTAGTTGGTGGCTGCCAAAGAGATAAACTTAACACTGTCTTCTCTTTCTTGGAGAACAGAATATTAGTTTTGCTGCCCTTAGTTATCACATGGTTAACTGAGGAAACTGAAGTGTAACTGAAGCTTGCGCTAGACCTCTGTTCAGATCTATTTGTAGCACATGTTCTTTCCTAGAGCTGTTGAACTTGGTGGAACTCTTTTTTTTCTACTCGGCTGGAGCCTACAAAGATGAAGCAACGTGGTTCCTACAAACAGAAACTTCAAATCACCCCTTGATAAACAGGATTGTCAACTGCTTCATAAAATAATTGTTTACAGTTGAATGATACTACACTCAGACCCAAGGTTGGACTAACATGTAAAAAGAAAAGTTTAACTGTTTTGTACTTGGCCAAATCTGTTGACTGTTTTCTGTTGTTTAAGAAACACTGTAATAAACATTAGAATCAGTGTCCGGATACAGAAACTGTGTATTATGACATGAGTAATCTTTGCTTACCAGAAATAGTCTTACTCTTTTCCTCACAGTAAATGCTGTAAACACATTGGATTTGTGGCACAGAACAAACTCAACAATTTCATCACTATATTGTGGAGTGAGGGGCCTCCTCCTGTTTTCAACTGTGCTGCTTTATACAATGACAATTTGTGCAAAGTAGTGTTGACTCTGGCAACAACAGACAGTTGCTCTTCTCGATTTTGCAATGCCATGGGATTTGCCTTGGGAGGTTACACAAACGTACAAGATCACCCTCACAGCAAAGCAAAGGAAAACTTTTTTTTTCTTTTTTGTAAAGTGTGTGAGACCAGTACCTTATGGAGTTTTTATATGAATTCCAATTTACTGTTCATCAGATACTAGTCTCAAAAGATGTTAATTTATGTAAAGTGTTTCAAAGAAGTTTATACTTGAAAATAAAATCTTTAAAATACAGTGGCTGTTGTGCAACTGATTTTTAATCGGATGAAAGGGGGAAATGTGATTTTCCAAGATCAACTTTTTCACTGGTCTTAATTATATACTTTCATTTATTAAGAAAAAAACAATGAGGAAAATCCATCACTCGCTTATAAACCTGCCCTGAGGAATATTTTCAGCCATTCTTAAGTTGACTTGAATTTTGAACTACAAAAGGGAACTTGATTTAATGCAGAACTTCTGACTCGTGAGAGACTGGAGCAAAACAGTTGCAGAAAATTGTCCTCAACATATGCAAGGAAACTGCAAATCTGTATATAAGAGATAAATCACTGACCATGTGATTCAGCTATTATTTCATGTCAAGTTACCTGGGTGAGTGTGCTTTACTGTTGGTGGTGGTGCAGTTTTAATGAGACCTCAAACCGAGGTCCAGTTTGTCCCCTCACTTATGTATAAATATTCTATGGGCAGTCTTAATAGAAAGAGAGCAAGGAGTCCTCCCTTTTCCTGTTTGGCAAATATTTGGGGCAGGTGGTTTCGAGGAGATGTGAGGAAAAACTTTTCCATTCAAAGGATGGCGGGAATCTGCAACTCACTGGTTGTCAGGGTGGCACAGGCAGAAACTCTCACAATGTTTTAGAATTGCACCAAAGTTTGTTTTATCTGGCACATTATGAACCAGCACGCTCAATAAATTGGCAAAAATTATATACCTGTGAAATAACTGCACAGAGCTTGTTATTTCGTCACCAAGTCACCCTTTATTTACATGCACACAGTACATGGGCTCTGACCAACCAGCTCAGAACCAGTCCCCAGAATGAGGAGACTCCCTGAATCTCCTGTTTGTATCTGTCAGCCAGGGATCTCTGGCCCAGGTTAACAACCCCAATCAAGGATCTCATAGTCAATGAGATTCACCAGGCCCTTGTTCCAATCACCAGAACCTGAAATACTGAAAGTTTACATATCACTGCGATCTCCGTGATGTCCAAGTAGGCAACTGAAGGTGCGAGTGAGAAGGCTCTTTGCTGGTAAGTTTTATTTAAGGCGAAGTGGATTGTTATTTAAGTAATTTATGCTGGAATTAGAGTATAACAGTGATGTGTATAGCCCTTGAATTATGTTTCTATTACTTACATTGTTTTTACGTTCATTATGTGGACCTCTTGATCAACTGGCTCACTCCTGGTCCCACAGGTGCCAGTTAATAAAAGTGTGTTGTATTTTGTTGTGCATTTGTGATGCCAAGACACACAAGACTCTGGCTGAAAAATGGGAATAAAATAATTAGATGGATGTTTTTGACTGGCATGGATGCAATGGGCTGAAGGGCCTTTGATCTTTTCCTGTATTTGGGACCTTGCTGTGCACAAATTTGCGGGGTTGGCTACATTACAACCTTGGTTGCAAAGCACTTTTGGAAACCCTGAGGTTGTGAGAAGTACCATATTTTATTTCAAACATAAACAGTGCAGCACAGGAACAGGCACTTTGGCTCACCATGTCTGAGCCGACCATACTGCCCTTCTAAGCTAACCCCATCTGCCTGCACGTAGTCCATATTCATCCATTCCCTGCCTGCTCATGTGTTTGTCTCAATGCCTTTTAAACATTGCTGTTGTTTCTTCTTCTACCACCTCCTCTGCCAGTGCCAGGCACCTACCACCCTCTGTGTAAAAAACTTGCCTTGCACATCTCCTTTACTTTCCTCTCTCACCTTACACCTATACTCCATAGTATTTGACATTTCCACCCTGCGATACATACTCTGACTATCCACTCTATCCATGACTCTCATAATTTTCTATACTTCTATCAGGTCGCCTCTCAGCCTCCGATGTTTTAGCGAAAACAGTTCAAGTTTGTCCAAACTGTCCTTATAGCTAATACATTCCAATCCAGGCAACATCCTGAGAAACCCCTTTTGCACCCTCTCCAAAGCCTCCACATCCTTCCTATAGTGTGGTGACCAGCACTGCACACATTAGTCAAAACGTGCCCTCACTGAAGTTTTATTCAGTTGCAAATGACTTGCCGACTTCTTAGTGCCCTGACCGATGAAGACAAAGATGCCATATGCCTTCTTAATCATCTTATCCACTTGTTGCCAGTTTTAGTGAGCTGTAGACTTGCATCTCTCAAGATATTTTACTGCATAGAGTCTCCATTCAGCCCAAATAACTTGCAATCATTAAAAATACTTCAATGGCCAATAAAGAACATGGCAAATGAAAAAGGATTTGTTTTCAAAAAGCTTGAATATCTGATCCCCACTCACATAGATAAATTATCCCAAATACTACTTTTTCCTCTCAACCATTACCTAAAAGCTTGTTTAGTATTGTATAATTGACCACAGCGACTGCCACACAAGAAGGTTCATCATTGCTTACTGTTTAAAATAGAGAGAGAAGGATGTATTTAGCTGACATTAAAGCAGAGTTAGTGCCACCAAAGACAAGATCTAATGGCATGACAAACTATGCCATGTGGGAGCTGTTTTCAAACTGGACATCCTTGGTTTGTAGACAAAAAGGGTTTTGCAATGCAGTTCCACCATCCCCTGACAAGTGTCCACAGAACCACAGAATCCCTACAGTAGCCAGAATGACTGCAAAACAGCAACTTGTATTTATATAGTGAATGGATGATTTTTTTATTGTCATGTGTATTTTACAGTGAGAAAAACAGTAAAATACAGTGAAAAGCTTTCCCACTGTCACCACAATCCAGCGCCATTTTGAATAGTTTTAAGAATAAGAAAAAATTAGGAAGTATAGTTTAAAGAGGATCCATCAGTCCTGAACCAGCTCATCATCAACAATGACTGTGCTGCCGTCCTTCGTCCAACGCCTCGCCACCCTCTACACCAGACCCAGCCAAGATGGAAGTTGCTACACTTCAGGCGCCATCCTTTGCGGCTGGGCCGATATCTCCACCGCCACCTTGCTGTTGCCTGCGCAAGACCCTCCAATGTCAGAGTCACATCACTCACCACTAGGCCCACGTCATCGATGTGGCTGTGATGTTCTTCCACCACTGCTTCGCTGCCGCCAGCACCGGACCCAACCAACAACAAAGTCACCGACACTCAGATACTATCTTTCGCTGCTGGCCCGACCTCATCAACATCGCTTCTGCCGATGTAGCAGCCACCCATTCCGATGCCAGGTCCTGTGCTCTCCTGGCGAAGTCAATAAGGGCCGACTCACTGCCACCACGAGGTCCGTGCTGGGCCTACTCGAGTCCGTGCTGGGCCCACTCGAGTCCGTGCTGGGCCCACTCGAGTCCGTGCTGGGCCCACTCGAGTTCCCTGCTGGGCCCACTCGAGTCTGTGCTGGGCCCTGGACACCATGCTGGTACCACTCGAGTCTGTGCTGGGCCCACTCAAGTCCCTGCTGGGCCCACTCGAGTCTGTGCTGGGCCCACTCGAGTCCCTGCTGGGCCCACTCGAGTCTGTGCTGGGCCCACTCGAGTCTGTGCTGGGCCCACTTGAGGGACAAGGGCAGCAGATATATGGGAACACCTTCAAGTTCCCCTCCAAGCCACTCGCCATCCTGATTTGGAAATATATCGCCGTTCCTTCACTGTCATTGGGTCAAAATCCTGGAATTGCCTCCCTAATGGCATTGTGGGTCAACCCACAGCAGGAGGACTGCAGCAGTTCAAGAAGGCAGCTCACCACCACCTTCTCAAGGGCAACTAGGGATGGGCAATAAATGTTGGCCAGCCAGCGACACCTACATCCCACAAAAAGAATAAATAAAACAAAAACATAATCATGACCACACGCTTGACCTCACTCCCATCACATCGATCGCAAATCTCTGATTACTTCTTTTTGCACTCTGCACCCATTTCCACCTACCCCCTCCCAATCTGTTTTGTCCTCAATCCAGAAAGCAAATTCTCACCAATTCCTGTTTAACTAAATGTTCAAAATCCCAACTATCTAGCCTTTGACCTTCCATTCACCATTAAATCTCTGCAGCCACATCAACTCCTTCATTATTGAATCCTCACTGAAATCATGACTTTCATTCAGATGCTAGTGATTCCCTCAGGTCCAAAGGACCAAGACTTGAACTGAAATGATGGCAAATAGTTTAACCATTGCATTGCATGGTTGTACCACATAAAAATAAAGTGTCAGGTCCTGCTTGTCTGTTAAAACTGCTGACTATTACAAGAAATACCGAGAAAACCTCTGACTTAGTTTCTGTATTGGGAACCATATTTTTAAATCCCTCTTCATGTCTCCTTCCCCTTCATCTCCAATAAGAAGTATTTGGAGCACATACTTCTCTGCCACTAAGATTGAACTGATACATTTTCCTATATCTGATGAACCACCGCCTCTCTTAGTCAACTGGGCCAGACTTCCTGCCAGGTTCCCCCTGACCTTACCCTGAGTTCACATCATTCTCTAAATTTTCTCCTATCCCACATCACGTCCAATCCAAGTGTATCTTGTCCATGAGACCCAGCTCTTGCTCCCACCGCCCTATCCCCATCAAACTGTTGGTCACCCAATTTCTCTTTGAGCTACTATACAAGCTGTTCACTGTCCACAGTGACTGACCCCCTTTTGCCTTCAAATTTGCCATCATTTCCCCTCTCCTCAAAAATCCAACATTATATTCTTGCAAACCACCATGTCGTCTCCAGCATCCCTTTCTTCTCCAATGTTTGTGGAAATGCTGTCATTGAAACATAGAAACATAGAAGATAGGGGCAGGAGGAGGCCATTCGGTCCTTTGGGCCTACTCCGCCAATCATGGCTGATCATCCAACTCAATAGGCTAATCCTGCTTTCTCCCATAATCTTTGATCCCATTCGCTTCAAGTGCTACATCCAGTTGCCTTTTGAAGACATTCAATGTTTTGATATCAACTACTTCATGTGGTAATGACTTCCACAGGCTCACCACTCTCTGGATAAAGAAATGTCTCCTTATCTCGGTCATAAATGGTCTATCCTGAATCCTCACTCTGTGACCCCTGCTTCT